TTGAAAATGTCCGCATAAATTTGTTATAAAATATTAAAGAAAACAAATTAGATTATATGACATAATAATAATAAAACTAAAAATGATAATAGTAGTATTAGTAGTAGTATTGGTAGTAGTAGTAGTATTGGTAGTAGTATTGGTAGTAGTAGTAGTAGTAGTAGTAGTAGTAGTAGTAGTAGTAGTAGTAGTAGTAGTAGAGTAGCAGTGATAGCAGCAGTGGTAGTAGTAGTGGTAGAGTAGTAGCAGTAGTAGTAGAAGTAACAGCAGTAGTAGTAGAAGCATTATAATAGCATTGAATATGCTCACTTATATTTGTTATAAAATATTAACGAAAGAAAGCAATAATGATTGTATGGAATACTCTTCAAAGAGAGCTCACATGGTGGTCCACGTAGAATTCAATATACACCAACGCTGATACTGCGGCTATTATTACCACTACTACAACTACCACTACTACTACTGTGGCTGGTACTTCTCACTGGTAGTGCTGCTACAACTGCTACTACTGCTGATAGGATTACTGCTACTACAACTGCTAAAATTAAAAATTTTAGCAGTTGTAGTAGCAGTACTAAAATTTTTTCTACTATATCTACCTTTACTATTACTACTTCGGCTACTGAGAAATTTTCACGGTTTCAAATGTTTTAACAACGATTACTAAAATTCAGCCACAATTGTTGTAGGTACGACTACTACTTGTAACGTTACTGCAGCTACAACTAAGACATTTATAAATGGCGTTTCTAGTTCAACAAACGCATTTTCTCCAACCGAGCAAATTTAAATGTTATTAATGTTTATGGGCAGAACGCTTCTGCATAATGCATTTTGTGCGAGTTTAATACTTCATACGCACAGCCGTGTATTTCCTATGGAACTATTATTATTGTCTGTTTTTTTTAAATAGAATTACCTGTTATAAATAAATATGTTAATTATTTGTTGTGAAATTTTTGAAAATTATCGCCATTGAACAGTTTTTAAATTACATCAGTTCTCACCCAATGTAACAAACGCTTCAACAGTTTTGCTTGCGTTGGTATTTTGTTTCATTCATTACATTACATTCATTACATTGCAGTGCTTCTTTGGTGTTTAATAAATATTTTCAGGATGTAAAATTTCTGCTGCTGAGTTTTTACCGCCATACATAAATGATTGATGGCTTGGCAAAAATCTTCCTTCCTGTAGAGTTTGAAATTTCAAGCAAGGAATATATCATCTACATACATTTATTAGTCTATCGCCATCATGACCAACACCATCACCAGATCATCGCCGTATCATTATCATCATCGTCTTCATCATCATCATTAGTCATCATCGTCATATCATCATCATCACAAGAGGGAATTTGTTTCAGTCGGTTGATTGTGACTGGAGGACTAGGGGAGAGATGATCAAATGAAGGACAAATAGGAAGAATTTCAAGCTGGCCGTATGCGTAACATGAGAAATGTTTGTAGTAGGAGGAAGGAGATGAAGAAGATGATGATGATGGTGATGATGCTACTGCTGCTGAAAGAATGATGATGATGATGGAAGAATGATGATGATGATGGTAACTAATATTATGATGTAAAGAATGTATTATGAAGAGGAATGAAAAAGAAAATGATTATGAAGATGGTGAACTACTTTTGCAGTTTTTTTTAAACAGTCTAAGATCTAGAAGTCCGGCTTGTGTTGTAATAATAATAATAACAATAATAATAACAATAATAAACTTACTAAAAGCAAAATCAATAAAAATATTAAATAACAATGTTTTCTATTCGCAATTGTTCATTTATTTATGTTCCATATCATGCTAGATGGGTCATTAGAAAAGTTTTGCGACCGTCATATACATGTCTGCCATTTTAGTTTTTGTAGAAATTTTTAAAATTTAATGAACCATTGTCTTGTTATTATTGTCAGCGAGGTAGTAGAACACCGCGTTATTTTTGATTAATTATTTTTTTGACTGAAAAATTTTTTAAACGTGGAGGAACAAATTAATGTCTCACTTTATAACATCGTCCGTTCGTCATTATCATCAGTGTTGTTGGTGTTGTGCTTGATTCAACGACACGCAAACAAACACACACGCGCGCACCACACACACACGCGCACCACACACACACACACACACGCACCACACACACACACACACACACACACACACAAACACACCTGCAAAATTAAAATTAGACGAGTGAATGAAGGAATGTGACGCAGTTTAAACAAGACGGGTTGTTTGTTTTCCGTATTGACGTTTCAACTCACTATGTTTGGCCGGTTGATTTGTTTTGGAAGGTCTTCTGTAAACTTTTCAACTGTTATTATCCGGTTTAAATATTTTTGTTGTTTATTGATAACGAGCTAATATTACTTCTGAAAATTTTACAAAAAAAAACTAAAATATGACATGAACCTTATTTACTTTAACGGAAAAGAAACATTTACTAGTAAGCTGAAACAGTGTTTGCTATTGATACAACTAATAAAATACATACATACATACATACATACATACATACATACATACATACATACATACATACATACATACATACATACATACATACATACATACATACATACACAGTGTATGTAATATGTGTAAAATATTAACAGGAGAATTGTTTAAAAATGTTGAAAATGATAATGGCGGTAAGATGATGGCAATAATGATGTTATGTCATGTTATTGATCTCAACACATCACTAGCTAATTGCTTTGGATGTCTGCCAATGCATTGCTTAAGGAGTTGTGCAACATGCGTGTTGTACATTTGTGTTGCTGATGCTTTGTGTTGCCGTTGGTTGTGTTGTTGTTGTTGTTAATGTTTTTGAGGTTTTTTAACGCTGTTGTAGTTTAAGATTAAAATTGTAACATGAATAAGTTGAGATCATGTTTGCACAGTTACGTATTGTTATGCATGCATGTTGTACATATATAAATAAAATTTTCATATGATTTTTGTATTTTATTGTCGACAGCGTACGTTCTTACGTAATTGCTTTAATGGGATTGCTTCTATGATCGATGCCGCGTTCGTCGGTGTTGTTTATTTGCTTTTGTTGGGTTGTGTCGGTTTATCAGAAAAAAATTGAATTATTATCAGTGGCTAGGTGTCATCGCGAGTATGTTCGAATAGAGAATGATCCTAACTTATCATTTGTAATGTGTGGACTTCCGGGTTATTGCTCGTATTTGCTCGTATTTACGTACATTGTACTGTGTGTGTTTGTTTGTGTGTCTATATATATGTGTGTGTGTTTTTTTTTGTGTGTCCATGTGTGTGTGTGTTTGTGTGTGGTGTGTTTGTGTGTGGTGTGGTGTGTGTGGTGTGGTGTGTGTCTTTGCGTGTCGTTGATATCTCAGAATCCAGCAAGAGCAGTAGAAGGGAATGACCTTTAACCTTCAAACTTTGACAAAATCAACATACATAACAACCAACAACAACAGCAACTACAACCAACAACAACTACAACCAACAACAACAGCTACAACCATCAGCAACAACAACTCAACAATTGCAACAAATACAACATAACACATGCGAGATCTTCTCAGTGATAACATGCAAATAAATATCGAAAATTGAGCTAATTAGTTTGACGGCTCACTATGGAACGCAAAAAATGTGTTAAATACGGGATGACGACAATGAAAAAGGCTCCAACATCAAGAACTAATTAGCGATAAACACTTTGGCAAAATAGCACTATTGATTATAGAGTTAATTATTGATTTACTAGCATTTTGACAGATGATTATTCGCTTATAAAGAGTGTTTGTTGTTGGTGTTGTGTCTGATGTTATTGTCATCTTGATGTCTTGACAACTGTTGAAGATAGCGTCATGTGTAATTGTTTTTTGTTGTTGAAGTTAATAATGTCATCATTTCGTTGATGCTATTGTTTTGCTGATGTCATATTGTTTGTTCATTTAATTGAATTGTTTATATTGTAGTTGCTGTTAACGTTGTTGTGGTATTAATGTTATAGTGTACTATACATCACGGTGGATGAAAGGTAAAATGTCGGCGGACTCGTTAATGTTTATTTACTTTGGAGAAAAGTATTATTTTTTTGCACTTGCCAATATTATAAATATAAATAAATATTCATACAAAATTTTGCCCACGTTTCCGCTAACGGTTAATGGGTGTTTCGCAGTGCAAAACATTTGGGAAGAAGAATATTTTTCCATCTCGGAGGCTCTGAAAATTTGATTAAAACGTTGGAATGCTTTGTTTTTTTGATACTGTAATTGATATTTTTAGTTGTTGTTGCTGATGATGCTGATGTTGTTGCTGTTGCGACTGATTTTGTTGTTGCTGCTGTTTTTGTTGTTGTTGCCACTGATTTTGTTATGTTTTGTTGCAAATGGTGTTATCTGAGCTGTTTTTGTGTAACGTATTAACGTATATACGTATTAACGTATATTGTGATTGTAACGTATATACGTATTAACGTATATTGTGATTGTAACGTATATACGTATTAACGTATATTGTGATGAGCATGAGTTTGGCTGGTGATGCTAGTTTTAAAAAACTTTTGTGTGCCAACAATTACAGTTTCCTTCCAATTCAAAATATATTCACAAATTTTCATTAGAAAAAAAAAGTTCATTGTGCAAGCTCGAGATGTGTGGTTCTTTTGTTTTATAGGATACAATCGTGTAGGACGGGGATATTTTAACATGCTTTCTTCGGCCCATGTTTCAATTATAAATTTTAATAACAAAATGGCAATTGGTCGGTTATTTTTTCTAATGTTGATAAATTATTATTCGCCTACAACTAATAACAATATAATCCTATATAATTATTAATTAAACAATTCCATATATATATATATATATATATATATATATATATATATATATATATATATATATATATATATATATATATATATAGAATTTATAGAATATTGTAAAAATATATATATATATATATATATATATTAAACCATTATACAATACAAATATTGAATCTAGCCTGTAGAAGCAACTGCCAACAAACCATTGAGGTCCTGGCTCCCACTGGTTTGACTGCTGTTTCCAGACATGTGGCACTCTTCGCTTCCCTCACGTGACACATTCCTGCTGTTTCCGGCAGCCTGGATATTTCCGGCAGAGCTACCACTTCCAGCAGATAGATTATTACGAGAACCGCTTCCGGTAAGATGGCTTCCACTTGTTGCGAGGGCACTCCCGACCAAAAGACTGTTTCCGTACGCTGCTGGGATCAAACTGGCGGCTCTCTTGCGGCCGGAAAAAGTTGGAGGAATCCAGAACTGATCGTTTGTAAGAGTGTTTGTTTGTGGGAAGTGATGAGGTGTTTGGAGGAATTTAGTGGCTACTGTGGTTGACGCAATTGCAGATGGTGTGGCTGTTGGTGGCGTGGCCGCTGTTGATGATGACGAATACGATGACGAGGCTGTTTGGACCGAAGAAGTTGCTGGTGTTGATGATGTGAGATAAGGAGAAGAAGGAAGAGGAGAGAGATATTCTTGCTGGTATGAGGTTGGCCTGTTGTGGGTTGAAATGTTGTGAGATGTACGAAGACAAATGATGTGCAGACATACTCAAATATTCGTAAGTGCATTACATATAAAACATCTTCAATACCATTTTTGAAACAATCAACAATTTAATTACAATTTTTCAACTCATCCAAGGAACATTTGTTTTTTATTTTTGATTATATTGATGTAAAAAATCAATAAAATCTGACTTGGGAAACTGAGGTTTATATTTTTAATTCAATAGTTGCGCTTACACTTACATACGCACACACACACACACACACACACACACACACACACACACACAGTTTTCAAAAAGTTCATAAAAATGACTTGGAATTGATGTCTTGAATTTTTCTACTAGTAGTTTTAACAAGTACTCTGTACACATGTGTCTTCATTTATTTCTACCACAATTTTCATCGATGCAATAAAAAGCACCTACCCACTCAGAGCCTGTGATAATGCGTTGCTTATATTTTCCAACGTAGAAGCCAATGGCGCGAATAGTGATGGAGAGCTGTGCTTTCTCCTTATCGGTGTTGCAGTTGCTGCCGCTGATGTTGTAGTTGGTGGTAGCGGCTTGTGGCTGGTGGTGGCTTGTGGTTGTTGTTTTGTGGCTTGGTAACGTTCGTGTTGTTTTTGTAACTGCTCCATCAATGATTCCCTCGGTTGTTCATCTTGCTTCTGCAGCTGTTGTTGATCTTGAAGTTTTTGATGAGATTGTTGTTGCTGGGGTTGTTGCGGTTGTTGTTGATGTTGTTGTGGCAGTGGTTGTTGTGGCTGCAGATCAGCCTGACAGTAGTATTCAGAACGTTTCTTCTGAGAATTGTAATGTTGTTGTTGAATGTAATTGGTGTAAAATTTATTTTGTTGTGCAGGCAGTTGAACGTTTTGTTGAAAATTTTGTTTGCTTTGTGGTTGCAGTTGCGATTGCAGTTGCGGTTGCAGACGTTGATGCTGTTTCTCCTGGAACAATACAGAATTATCAATAGCTTTGCAGACCGGATGTGATTTCCGCAACAAATCATAATTAAGATTGATGTTATTACCATCATTAACGTTTTCAGTCCTATATTTGTTGTTATTATTGTAAATGTTGTTGTTATTGCCATTGTTGTCTTTATTATTAATGTTGTTGTTGTTGTTGTTAGTTTGATCGTCAGCGCTTGGTGATTGCGGAGGGGAGGGACTGACCTGCGTCGGGGCAACAAACAAACTCATGGCTCTGAATCGGCGAGTAAATGCGGCACCTGGCGACAACTTCTCTCCTGCGACTGCTTCCTCTTCATCGCTGCTACTCTCACAACTGGCTGCCTTCTTGCCGGAAAATATTGTTGATAAGCTTTCTGATGCTTTTTTGAAAAAAGTTTTATTTTCAATCGGTGGTTGTTGTTGTTGTTGCTGCGGTTGTTGCTGCTGCTGCTGTTTTTGATACAAACGATGTTGCAAGAGAAGTTGTTGTTGCTTGGTAAGAGAAGACTGTCTCACGTGACCGGAAGTGTCCGACATTTCGCTGCTGGGCTCGTTTTGTGAATTTTTAATGGATACGATTGTGCTGTTTTCAATGCGGTTTAAATTTTTGAAACTGGTATCACTGCGATGTTGTTTCAGTGGTATGCTATCTTTGGCGTAGTGGTTGCAAATAGTGTTGTTGTTATTGAAGTTGTTGTTGATGTTGTTGTTGATGTTGTTGTTGATGTTATTGTTGATGTTGTTGTTGATGTTGTTGTTGATGTTGTTGTTGGTGGTGGTAGTGGTTTTGTTGTTGTTGTTGTTGCTAGAAATTATGTTGGATGGAGTTGTAGGTGGAGATTCGTCCAAACTTCTGCTTGTTAAGTGAATGTATCTGTAGGAGAAATTTTAAAAAATGTACTTGCGTGAATGTGTTACAGTCGCCTTTTTTCATTTTTTACATCTTAAAAGCGTGTCTTATTAGTTGCGTACATTTATTCTGCGTGTAAAAAATTGTTAAATTCATGTAAACATAACTTTGAGATTGTTGTTAATTTTCAATTTAATCAACAAAAGTTTAACTTTGGTTTGAAACTCTATTAGAATGCTGGTAAAATTTTCGAATGAGTGGTGGATTAAATTGAATGAATCGTTGGAATAATGAATTCCTCAAATCCATTTCCTGTTTGTGTTAATTAGTTCTTGACCAGAGACCATATAATGCCACTGAGGGCATTAATGCTAATGAGCTAAATGGACATTACGTACCATCATAAATTATGTTTGATCATACCTGTTCTGGAACTTTAATGTGCACTTTAACGTATAGATCATGTTGAAACATACAAATTTGCACACAAGTTTTAGTTTTTCAGTTTATTTATAATCAGCGATTTAACTGTTTTAATATAAGCGTGTCTGCGAATTAAGATGTAAGGTTCAATGCAAACATATGCGCGTGTATATGTGTGTATGTATGAACCCATAATTGATTAGAACTATAAGGAAGTAATAATCATATCCGGGTTCAGCTTTAATCTATGTTAAACGCTTTGCACAGACAGGTATTTTAATGCTCCATCCAAAATACAGAAAGAATTATATTTCTGAAGTAAAATAGAGAAAGATTGCTTTACATAACTCTTATCTAATGGGTCACCCGAAACTTCTACAATCCTGCTACAGAAAACTCTGAGTCTGAAAATCGGTTGGATGTGTGTGTATGTTCGTATATGTATAATATATATATATATATATATATATATATATGTGTGTGTGTGTGTGTGTGTGTGTGTGTGTGTGCATGTTTGTGTGTGTTTGGTATAAATGTTCGTTTGTAATTGGGCGCTCAAGAAAGTTTGATGTACCCTTATTCAAACATAACTCCGAAATAAAAACGTGTATCCGGTTTTTGTATTACTTTCTTTCCTCAGAAAACTCTCTTTCTCTCTCTCTCTCTCTCTCTCTCTCTCTCTCTCTCTCTCTCTTTTCTATTCCAACATTGCACGCACAGTCAACGTAGATGATGTGACTTTCTTATCCCACTCTCTTGTTCGTAATACACGTTGCAGTTTAACTTTGCTTACATTCGGCCATTTTATATTAATTGCCAAGTTAGAAATTTTTACTATTGCTAAAATATGTTGTACGCACTCCAGTCAAACTGATTTCAAATTTTGTATAAAAATCTGTAATGCCATCGATCGCCATCAAATGAAGTTATTTGAATATGCTAAATTTATTGAAATATGTTTACAAGTGAAGAAAATCTTTTAAAATTTTCTCACAAATTTTAGATAACTTGACGAGTGATTTCTCTACCATACAGACGATTGGAGCGATTGGGCAACGTTAAAGTGTATGGTACTACTACTGCAGAAACCGTATTTTCTTGGAAAGAAAATTCTACTATCACGTGCAATGTATGTAATGCGTTGCTTCACGAGTATCTACATGCCCTCTATGTTTTTTGTTGCTATCTCTAAAAAAATATGTGAAAAATATTGAAAAGAGAGTTTAATCTGTAATAATAAATATACTACATATACATTTTAATGTTTTGCCTAGGATAGCAATTGATACAATGTTTTTTTATGAAGTCATACTTGCATACATTTGTATTCATTTATAAGTGCATAGTAACAAGTGGAACCTAGCTAAACACGCATCCTTCATGCGTCCAACACGACCATCACCATACATCATTTTATTCAGACTTCGATATGTTATCACTGATGAGTTTTGTTTCAGGTCATCAATTTATTCATCCATCAAATTAATAACACTTCATTCTTGATTTTTATTTATTATCTTCCGATACATCTTCTTTCTCTGTGGGTTACACGTTCGTGTCCGTCCGCTTGTCTCGTGAACTAACCCTATAAATATTTTTACCATAGTTTTTTTCAAGAGGACGCCATTATTTATATTGCCTATTTCAATTTTTCAAATTGCCTCGAGATGACGTGACGTCATTATTCATCTATATTAAATATTTTCATTTTTTAAACTTTTCACGAGTAAGCCACGCACGGCTGATGAACAACATCTCCTCAATTTAAAGAAAAATTCGCGAAATTATCTTCAAAAAGAATTTTAAAATTCTTCTCAGAATGATACAAATATAACGGCACGCATCGACAGTTGATTCTGCTTAAGCTGACTGCCTAGTGCTCGCTGTCTTAAGTATGTATGCAAGCATGTACTTTGTATTGTGTGTGTGTGTGTGTGTGTTTGTATGTGTGTGTATACTGTGAGTTTACTTTATCAATGTGTGCGTGTGTGTGTTCATGTATGTTTGTGTATATGTGAGTGTGTGTACGTTTTCATAGTTATTATAACTAAAAAATTTATCGAGTGCTTAGGCTGTGTAAACTTACCGTTGAAAATTCTGTCATTTTAAAAATTTGTTTGATGTTTTGTTGTAACTGTGTGCGTGCGTGTGCGTGTGTGCGTGCGTGTGTGTTTGTGTGTGCGTGCGTACGTGTGCGTGTCAGCAAATATAAACATAGTTGTTTTTGGCAGATGGGATGTTGATATGTCTGTATTATAATACATTTAATACAAGTTCCTTGCAAATAACACGACATGGTTCGGGTAGAAAGAGAGAGAAAGAGAGAGAAATAGAGAGAGAGAGAGAAAGAGAGAAAGAGAGAGAGAAATGTTCACGAAACAAACATCAGTGCCAATTTCTTCAGCTAACCAAACAAGATGTTACATTGATAAAGTGCGGGAAGTAGTAATTGATATTTATTACTAGATGTACATAAGATACTAGGTGTACATAAGATACTAGGTGTACATAAGATACTAGGTGTACATAAGATACTAGGTGTACATAAGATACTAGGTGTACATAAGATACTAGGTGTACATAAGATACTAGGTGTACATAAGATACTAGGTGTACATAAGATACTAGGTGTACATAAGATACTAGGTGTACATAAGATACTAGGTGTACATAAGATACTAGGTGTACATAAGATACTAGGTGTACATAAGATACTAGGTGTACATAAGATACTAGGTGTACATAAGATACTAGGTGTACATAAGATACTAGATGTACATTACTAGATACAAGATGTACATAAGATACTTGATGTACATTACTAGATACTAGCAATTGTCGTAAAAATGTTTATTTGTTGAAAAAAGCATAAAAAAAGAATAGTATATTAATTAAGTTAGGGAGTTAGGAAAGTTAGGTATATGAGTAAAACTATTAGTACATGATGTATAATGCGCGAGCGTTCTTGAAACATTATCAACAAAACAAGTGTAAGAGATTCATGCATACATACATACACACACAAACACACATATAAAGACACAATGAAAACAAATCTAAATAAACAAAATTTAAAAAAATTAGAATGATTGATAGAAATTTTTTCTATCACCATAAAATGGTCCAACATGGTCCTCAACCATTCAACACTTTGAGCTTCTACAACAGACGATGCCAGGCTATTCAAATCATTCCAATCACCAACTATTCTGTTTGGGAAGAAACACTATTGTTACACTGACGAAAGATATCGTTTATGAACATGATGAACAGAAATGGTCCAAGCACGCTCTCTCATATGAATGTATGCTACTTCGGAAATACGCACTGCTCGGATATTCTAATGGAAATAATTATTTTTGCATTCTTTCGTTTCAATGAGTTTATTTATAATTATAAATCCATCTGTTAATGAGTGATTGAATGAATATGTGAGTGAGTGGATGGTCGGGTGACGACATCCACATTTTCATCATTACAAACACCTCCACCTCATTATCAATCTAACCACTGCATCACCATCAATTAATAAGCACCTGATTCCTAAGATTATCATCTGGCTATGTTTGTTTCGTGGAGTTGTGTTGCTGAAATTTCATTCCGACCGCACGTGACTTCTCATACAGTTTTCATCATTGGTCATTTTTCTTTCGCACCAATCCCATCGTTGCGATATTTTAATTCAGGAAAGTTTTTCATTTCATTGAATGTGTGCTATTTGTTTTATTTGATTTTATATTTTTTGGACTTGAGTAAACTCGATTTCTAATGCAAAATAATTTTTCCCACCAATCTGCCATACACCATCTCGTTGTTTTTAGGTACTGCTTACCTCAATTTTTGTTCCTAAAATTTTTCTTAAATTTTGAAAATTTTTTTTAATTTGTAAACTTAGTTAAATTATTAAAACTAGTAAACATTATTAAGTTAGCAAAAATATTTACCGCATTTTACGAAGACTAGCACGTCAATTGCTTTTCAAACGCTTTAACATCACAACCAATAAACTACAAAAAGTTAATTTTAATATATTAATTTATCATTTAAATTTATTTTTATCTAATCATGCGAACCGGCACATAAAGGTTTGAAAATACAACAAGCAAACAAACATACAAAAACACATACATACAAGCAAACATATAAACGGACATACAATCAAACACGCAAACAAATTGATAGACGGATTAAGAATAATCAGATTTTGATAGAAGCTATTTGATTTGCGCGCCAACCAATGCCAACCTGATGACTGGTTTCTTCGGAAAGATGAACAAGGAAGACCTTCTGACTTGATCAAACAAATTTATTTGGAAGTCACCTTGCTGTGTTGTTGCTGATGTCGTTGCAGAAGTTGTTGAAGTTGAAGCTTTCGTTGTTAATGTCGCATTTTGTGTTATTATTGGTGTATTCAATGTATCAATTTGTTTGTCCATTTGAGGGTATTGGTAATAAAGTTGTTGTTGTTGATGTTGTTGTTGTTGTTGATGTTGTTGTTGTTGTTGTTGTTTATAATGTTTATTTTGTGTCAGTTTTTGTTTTTTTGTGGCAAAAGAAACGTTTAATTGTGTGTTTTGTTGGTTTTCAACTTGTTTAGCCTGTTGCAACAACTGTTTGCTCTCTGCTGAATTTATTTTATTTTCTTCTTCTTCCTTTCTGGATGACTGATGAGGTTTATTAAATTCAACGACGTTTGATCGCTCGAAAGTTTTATAATTTTTCAGATTTTGATTGCCAATCTCTCTAAAGCATTTATTTGCATTCCTCTGGTCATCATCGTTGTTATACTGGTCATCATCATTTCCATTTTGGTCTTGCTCCTTTGCCGTTCTGTTCTCCCTAGTTTCTTCAACGTATTTGTTTTCGTATTCAAAAATTTGTGCGCCTACAGCTGCACTTATTACTTTATTTTTTCTGTTCGTTGCTGTTGAAGAAGCAGCTACATCAGACGTTTTTGTGGTTGCGGTTGATGTTTTGTCTGTTGGTGACGCTGACGTTCCGACGGCAAGGTCTCTGGAAAGAAAATTTATGGAGGGAAATTTTTTGTGGAATGTGATGCAAGTAAGAATGAGGAGGATAACGAGAAAGACACCCAATATTGATGCTATCGTGGCGTAGATCACGTGTTTCTTATGGGAAGCTGAGGATATTTTCTGAGGAGAGGGCGATGACGTTGGTGGCTGTGGTGGCTGTGGTGGCTGTGGTGGCTGTGATGGCTGTGGTGGCTGTGGTGGCTGTGGTTGCGAAGTTGACGTTGCTTGAATTGGTTGAGGTTGCTTGAGTTGTAGCTGTTGATTTTGCAGCTGATGTTGTTGCTGCTGATGAAGTTGCAGTTGTTGTCGTTGTAGAAGTTGTTGGTAGTATTGTTGGTGTGGAGTTTTTTGTTGTTTGCGTTGTTGTTCGTAATAGTAATGATAATATGGTTGTTGTTCATATGCTAGAGTGGTTAATTTGAAATTTTGAATTGGCTGTTCTTTGCGATTTTGTAAAAAATAATTTGCTCTGTCTTTTTTCAAATTAATTTTTTTGCCGTCATTATTCTGATTGGCTGACGTTTTTTCAACGGCGGAGTTAATAATCTGGTTGTTAACGTCATTTTTGTTGTTTACGGTGTTATGGCTGTTGTTGTTGTTGTTGAGGATGTTGTTATTGTTGTTGTTGATGTTTTGGTTGCTGTGGTTATTATTGTTGTTGTTGTCATAGTTTGGGATGTTATTAAAATTGTTGATGTCGTTGTACTCCAAAGAACGTTTAAAAATGTTTCTCCTATCAGGTAAATAAATTGGGAGTGTTTTAGTTGCTGCAGCTTTTTTAGATAATAACTTTTTTAATTTTGTGATGTTAATATAAGTCAAATTACAAAATGATGACGTCAACGATGACGATGATAGTGTCGACAACACACGCAGCAATACTGACGATGATGACGTTTTCAATAGATCATTTTGATGGAGGTTTATGCTTTCTTGATGATGTTGGTCAGTTGCTGGTTGCTTCTTATCTGTTGGTTGGTTGAGGAGTTGTGTCCGGTGCTGATGTTTTGAGTGTTGGTGTTTGTGGTCATGTGGCTGTTTGTAGTGTTGTTGTGGTTTGTGGTTTTGGCGTTTTTGCTGTTGTTTGGCTTGTCGAAAGCGGTTTGATTGGTGTTGTTTGGGGCTCAAAAGAGTTTGACAACGTCGTTCAATGTTAACCGGCTGCTGACCGAGATGATTGGGATGATGTTTTTGAGGCCGATAATAAATATAATAGCAAGGACGATAACAAAAAAGACGATGTTGATGATGACGAAGATGATGATGCTGATGATGACTGTGTTGATGTTGTAGTCTTAGAAGTAATAGTAACGATGATAATCGTGCTTCGTGCTCGGAATAGCGGGAAAATTTAGAGCGGGGTTGAAGTTTATGATGTCGTTCTACATGTATACATAATGGACTGGTTATGAACGTGTGGCGTTCATGAAGTTTCTGTGGTTGTTGTTGGTGGTGTTGATGTTGTTGTTGATGTTGCTGGTGGTGGTGTTGTTGATGCTGTTGCTGTAGTCGTTGCTGATGATGTTTTTGCTGCTTCAAGTGATGACAACAATGTTGATAGTTGTTGTTTTGTTGACGGTGATTGTAATGAAGATGATTAAAGTGCTGTTGATTACGATTTAGAGTGCTGCGATGATGGGTTGTAGGTGTTAAGTGGTTTTTCAAATTTTCTATTGGCTGCCGTTGATGATGATGACGACGACAATGATGTTGGATCAAATAATAGTAGTCCTGGATTGGATGATGACGATGATGATGTTAATGATGATGGTGATAGATGATGGTGATAGTGGTGATAGATGATGGTGATGACGATAATTATGATATTGATAATCATGATAAGAATAATGATTAACATTTGAAAAAATAGATGGCCAAAATGATGAGACAACAAAGAGGAAGAAGATAATAATGATGAGGATGATGTAGAAAATATCGTTGTTGAAAAACAGTTTTTTTTATGACGAAGATGATGAGAATGAAATGGATGATGAATATAACGTTTTTGGTGACGAAGATGATGAGAATGAAATGGATGATGAATATAACGTTTTTTGTGACAAAGATGTTGATAATGAAAATGATGATGCCGACGACTACAATAATGTTGTTTATCAATCGCTTGCAAATGCAAACAAACACTTACTTCATGTTTCCTTTGTTTGTTGAAGAAGTTCGTGTTTCTAAAAATTTTATTTCTTGCTGGTATGTCGGAGTTGTATTTTGCTGTTTCTCTATTGGCACTACTACAGATAATAATTCTAAGGGTTTTGTTGTTGATGTTTTTATAGGTAGTAATGCTGTTGTTTTTGCTGTTGTTATTGTCGATGCGATTTATGTTGAAGTAACTTATGGCGATGTTGTCGGAGTTGCTAAAGAAGTTTTTAGTTTTGTTGTTAGTTTCAAGCGTACAAACACTGATGCAGGTGTCGCCACAGATCAAGCTGTTGTGGTAGATGTCACTCTTGAAGCCAGAATTTAGATCAAGTGTTCGTCTGATGACGTCATTTTCAACATTATTTTTTCTCAATTCATCAGAGAGTTTTTCGTTAAAAATGTTCAAAACGCCACTTTTCACGCTAGTACGGCCGTCAGGTTTCGGAGATAAAACTTGAACATTTTCCAGGCGGCAATTTATTGAAGCTCTATATAAATGTCTCCTGGAGTAACGTAACGTCGATGGAAGACTGCGCACTTCAGACGTTCGGCTATTAGACGTACCCTCCGTAATCGTTAAAATAATAGGAATAATAATAACAACGACAATAGCAATAGAAGCAATAAAAGTTGGAAATCTACGAAGAACGGTGGCGATGGAAACAAGGGAAATAATAATAAGAGAAGTCGCGTGTGCCGCTATGTTCATTGCGTCTTACGTTCTATTTCGTGTTTGTTATTTCTCTTCTTGTCAATGTTAAACTGCATGCATCCATTATAATATACGGTGCGCATCGTATTCTCTTTAACGTACCATGTCCTCCTCTATAATATCCGTTAATTTTTCCCTTCAGGTTTAATTATTCGTTCAATTCTTAAAGTTATATATGGATGCTGCATACATTCATATCGCAGTATATAAATACTATACATACACACGACAACAATATTTATACTATATATATATATATATATATATATATATATATACAATATTCTATAAATTCTACCGAATGTTTGGCGAGATTGCGTCGGTTGGTCGCAAAACTTCGGCGTCGGTTGGTCGCTGAACTTCGCCAAACATTCGGTAGAATTTATAGAATATTGTAAAAATTATGGTCTATTACCAACATATATATTTATATATATTATTATTATTTATTTATTCTTTTCTAGTGTTATATATCCGTGACTTAATTAGGAACTGACAAATGGAAGAGGTTAATGTTTCAAAAACAAGCAGATGACATTTTTTCTTACTAACCATTTTATGATTACCTATTATTAATTTTGAAATGTATATATACAATTTCTGTTTATTCTATGCGGATGTTGTTTGCTGCTAAAATGTTGTATATTTCAATTAAATTTTTCTTTAAATTTGTGTTAAGAAATTTATACGTGGTTTTGTTGCTACGATTCTTCAATTTGACTGTTTACGCCATTGTTTTAAGTTAAATTTTTAAATTTGTTTGCTACTGCAATGACACAAAAATATAAAGTTTAAGGCGTTTTTATGTTTTCAGCAATTTCAACAAACTAAACCAAACTAATTTGAACTGTTCTTCAGACATGCGTAGGCAGCTGCTACAAATTTCCACTTTCTTCCTCAAAGCCAAATCATTTTGGAGGAATTTTTCTGTTTTGTTGATAAAAACATGGCGCTCGCAAGTTTCATTGGTAAATTATTGTTTCTTTTAGATTCAACTGAAAATATCATTCAAATTTTTGTAACAGGCGAATCAAGCCAGGCTAAACGAATAAAAATCCCCCATAAACTCGTTTCAAATAACTACCTTTGTTAGGTTAACTAACCTTTAATAAAATCAAACACAATCAACAGTGGCCAAATTTCATTTCTTCACGAGACATTAAACACTCGTGCCAATTCAATTTCATTCTATATTGAATCGGCATAGCTTATATAACAACGTGAAGTTGTTTCACTGAAATCTAATTTCAAAGAGTCTTATAATATTAAATATGTATGTATATATACATACCTGTCTCTCACTCTCTCTCTCTCTCTCACTCTCTCTCTCTCTCTATATATATATATGTGTGTGTGTGTGTGTGTGTGTATGTGTGTATATATATGAATATGTCATTTTGTAAAGATTTCAACACCATATTTCATGCATACGAATATAGACATACATAAAGATGAAAATAAGGAAGAAACACTGGCAATGTTACGATAAGATGAGGATTGTCATATCAATATATATATGTTTATTGGAGCTATTGGGACAGGTTTATTGGGACAGTTAAGCTAATGACAATGATGATGACGACGATGATGAGGATGAAGAGGATAATGATGAGAATGATGATGTGATTTTCAGGCTGCCAGCTATGGATTGTTGCATTTGCTGATCAATTCTTCTAAATGGATGGTCTACAGACTGACGCATGCAAACGTGTATAAAAAGTTACGTAAGTGCTGTGTGAAAAAATTTTTGCATTTGAAAAATTGAGATGGAAATAAGCTGAAGCCAAGCAGAATGGAAGGATTTCTATCTTTGTTACGGCCGAACCGAAAAAATTCCGAACTTTGAAATTATTGGTGCGAACGAAAGCAAACAAGCTGCTTGCTATTTATTGCCAACTAACCAAACAAAATTGTAATTTTTACTGTTAGAAATTTCCAATTCTCGCGCGTTTCTACTTATGCGTTGTCCGTCGTTTAACGTTTGAAAATTAGAAAATTTCAGAATTTATAAAAAAAATTTTTGGTTAATTTTTTCTGTATATTTTTGAAAAAAAATATAAAAATAGTATTTGTAATCGGACTTAATGTTCCTAAAAAAATAATCCAACAAGCGAATAAAATTGTTTCCAACAACATCCGCGCCAAACGTACGAAACGAAGCGCCATTCACGCAATACGTGCAAAGCAACATCCACGCAGGCCTGCTGCCTGCCATACCTGCAAGACACACGCAGAGAGTTCAATAAAAGTAAGCACTCTTCATAACAAATCCAGAAGATTATCACGTAATACCTGCTACTGCTGCTACTGCTGCTGCTGCTACTACTGCTGCTGCTGCTGCGACTGCTACTTACACGATGTACTTGACTGTCACAGGAATAAATCCTATACCATGCACTCTACTGCAAGGCTCACAAACCTTTGCTACTTCTTTTTATGCTAGCAAACCGCGTGTACCTATGATTGATACGTGGGATGTGCTTTGTTAATACTTCATTTTATATAGGTATTGTCAAGTATGAATAAATATATGCATATTTGTGTGGGCGCATGTGCGTGTTTGTGTGTGTGCATTAAAATTTTTATTCATGTTTGCATGCAAATTTAAACATTTATTATAATATATAAATAATATATAATTCACTGCTGGGCTCTGTGTATCCAATACAGGTTAACCAACATATTGAGTACCTACCTACATAGGTATATGCACGTATATGTTGATGTATTTATTTGAATGAATGTGCGCCAGTGAAGACATGATGGATGCATGGTATGTTCTGTTTAATGTTTCACACTTTATGAAAATGTACTTAAATAGTTGAGTTTTTTATTTATTTAAATATTCATATAGTATAATTAGCAGGTTATGTATGTATAACTTTATCTGTTCAGTTGTGTCTACGATTATAAATAAGGTATTTGCATAATGAACCATACTATTATTATTATAAATTAATGCATGTTGTTAGAAAATCAAATTATTAATAAATATGCAAACTTGCGTACTAATGAAAACATACACACATACATACATAGACATACTAAATTACATACATATGTACGCATACTTACATACATATGCGCGCATACTTACATACATATTTAAACATACATAACTATTTAGACATACCTACATACATATTTAAACATACATACATATGTAAACATACTTACATTCTTATATAAATATACTTACATCTATATATAACAATTCTTTACAAAGTTGCAAAAGCATCCCATATTAGCATACTAACAATGTCTTTCTTAATGCACATCTCAACAGAGCAAACAAACTTTGTTATATTTACACTGCAACAGTTAACGAACGTCCGAACGAACGAGCAAACGAACGAACGAACCAATGAACGGATGAACAGGAAGATGACGAAAAAGTCAGCAAACATTGACAACTCTCTACTCTACTTTCTTTATTAAATCATGACTGAACGCTATGTGCGCGCTCCTAGCACACCTGAATAAATACCTTTCCAGCTATCATCAGCAGCACCGCCACCATCGTCATCGTCATCATCGACGTCACAGCACCATTATCGCCCTTGCTTCACTCGCCATGTTTTTCAAGATTTTTTTTTCTTGGAAGTGTGTGTCACATTTATTATTTTTTAAAATAAGGTTTCTTTCTTCTTCTTTATAAGGGCTACCTTCCATTTTGCTGGTTACGTAGTTTTGTTACTGAAAGACAAAGACACAGAGATATTGATAGACAGATAGACAGACAGACAGATAGATAAACAAACGAACAGACAGACAGATATGTACACATAATGATGCAAAATATTTCATCAATAAAACTTCATCAAAATTCTCATTAATGTAGTTGAAAATACTTCAACAAGTTTATGCTGACATAAAATACAAAAATAAAAAATTTTAAATATTTCAAAGGAAAATGTTTTATTTATATAGCGGAATAAAAATAAGCGTCGCCATTTTCGCATCATCATCACACTATCATCATCATCAGCAGCATCACGATATCATCTTCATCATCATCAATATCGCAATACCAGCATTATCATCATCGTCTTCACATTGCGTTCGATAAATTTCTGTCGCAATAATTTTTTTCAACAGCACAAAACTTCAACGTTATTTTCTTTTTTCAACAGCATTCTCATAAATTGCCATCGTTTAATTTTTTGTGTCGACAGTCTACTCACCACATCACACACTTTCCATCGAGATCATTAGCACTCTAATTTTAAACAACGGAAAGTTTATCAACCAGTCAATCAGACAGACAAACTCGCCAACAGTCAACCAGACAGACAACCAACAGTCAATCAGACAGACAAACTCGCCAACAGTCAACCAGACAGACAACCAACAGTCAATCAGACAGACAAACTCGCCAACAGTCAACCAGACAGACAACCAACAGTCAATCAGACAGACAAACTCGCCAACAGTCAACCAGACAGACAACCAACTCGACAGCTATCAACCAAGCGGACAATCAACCGACAGCAATGATGTAATTAACGTCTGTTATCTTCCGCCAATCAGTGACCAGCATGACACTAGCACGGAAACAAAACGTGCCTACGTCAGCAGAACATGTCCAACTGCAACTGATTGATGGTCGTCGCAAGCATGGTTCGGTGTTTAAATTATTTATTATTATAAGCGGAAGTGGAAACAAAATGAAAACATCAACAAACGGACAAACAACAAATGTCAAAACAATCACGTGATATGAGATAGTTCTTGTTCTGATCTATAGTTGGTGAACCGAAGTGAACAAATTCTTTACATAATAAGCTACAAACGCAAACAAGGCAGACTATAAATAAATGTTAATATTTAGGTTGAATGAACATCTTCCAGTGCTGAATTTTAAGAATGAGTGAATTTTCGGCAAGTTATATTTTAACCCGAGATTATTTTTTTGTTTGTTCATCTCTAATGCTCGTCACATAAACGTTGTCAAATGACTTAGTAGCGATTACAAACTAGCAACAAGATTGAGATAC